TATTTATGTTTAATAACACATTTTTGTAGTTTATTCATTTTATTTATTGTTTTTATTAAAAACTAAAATATAGAAATAATAAAAAAATTTTTTCTTTTATAAGTATCTTAAATATTTAAAATATGCAAAGTTTTATTGCAATTCACTGATTAGTTACAAAGATAAAGAACAAATAAATATTTTGTTTATTTACTGGACAATAGTACGTACATCGCAATGTAACTTTACGTAAATAATCTTGAATACATAATGTATACTTATATTAAAAGATTGAGATTTTTATCGTTTATTTTATAATACATTTCCACATATTCTTATTAGAGCACAGATTAAAAAAATACTACAATTTATTAAAATTATTTGTGATCCACATAATAAACCGTCACTAAATTTGTCGTATTATTTTTAAATTTCTTCTTCTTCTTCTTCTTCTTCTTACGTTAGGCCTTTGGGCTGTGTTATACCTCTCTCATATGCTTGTGATGCGTACGTTGATTACTCAATTGCCACGAGCATATGGGACTTTCAGTTTTATTGCCGATTCTGAACGGCGGATTTTTTGAAAGGTGTTTCTGTGGGCAGGGATACTCTCGGTCAGCTTTTTCCGAGAGGAGCGTAAATATTTTAGTTCCTATTAGAATCGAACCCGGGACCTTTGGCATGATAGATAGTACGTTGTCTACCACGCTCGCGCTTATTTGAAACTTGATTTAGAATAATCTGTAATTTTTTCATAATTTTGTAAATTTGAAAACATTTTGAAAATATGTATAAAACACTCTTAAATTACTGCATTGAATAAAATATATGATAATAATTAATGAGAACTAATAAAACGTACGATTACATACAATAACTAATGTAAATATAATATAGGATAGAGCGGGGCTTTTTTGTTCATTTTTTGCGATTTTTATTTTCTGCGAATGTTTATGTCTCTGAACAACACATGTTAATTATTTAAAGGTTGTGCTTGTGTTTTCAAGAAGCAATCATGACTGTATAATGTAATTATAATATAAGCACATCACTGTAAAGAGATATTGTTTACTATTATAAATTTTTTCGTATTAGTTTAAAGTTAAAACTGACGGAATAATCCCGCTCTACTCTAAAATTTATACATTCAATGTAAATCCCAAAGTTCAATCTGTGCGATTAAAAGAAAAAAAACATACACACAATATGCATTACTATATTTAATCTACAAAATTCCGAATTGATTCAACAAAATATATCGAATAGAAAATGTAGTTCTTTTACATTCTACACAGTGATTGTAAAATGACTGTCGCAATTTTCAAGGGATTAATAATGAGCGTGGATCGTTCTGCGACGATCGCAGGGAGAAACAAACGTAGCCTCGGGCAAGTGGACCAGACTCGCGGCACAACCGACATCAATCTGAACGAGCAAACTGCACCCCTAACGATCCACCGAGTCATATAAATTTTATTGCCATTTCATAAATCCCCGACGACCACCGCGAATAACCATCCGAGAGCTCTCCGAGAGATTATCAGGAACGTATAAAGTTACGAAACGTCGCATGGTTACGGTTCGCTCAATCGTCGTTCTGGTCGCTTCCGACGTAATTCTCAAGTGCGATTGCGAAAACTTCCGCGAAAATATAATGATAATTATCACTCAACTTAAAAAGCGATCAAGCTACTCGGGTGATTGGTATTTTATATTAGGCCCTGAATTTTACGTTCGCGTAATGTCGCATAGAAGAGAATGTTCAAATATAATAAATTATCGTCATCATTTGTTCGCGTTTGAATCTTTATTAACACAAATATAATACGCAGACAGATCATATGATAGTTTCTTCGGACGTATCTGATAAAAAATAATTATGTAATTAATGTTGTCAATATTAATACAAACATTGTTTTTTAATTATTATATTAAAAATTTATTCAAATAATATAAAAATATTATATTATTC